GATTGACAAGCGCGAGCTTGTTTAAGTTCGGGGTCCCGCGGAGTGTAGCCGGCGTAACGGCCCGCTAACGAAGTCCTCGATCGGGAGAAGATCCTCCCTTTAAGTCTGCCGGATCAAGTATTTAACCGCGGCCGGCGTGCCAACTTGCCGCGGCGATCGTTTCCCCTAATCGAATAGAAATATCGGAGAGTATCGGAGCGGGGCCCTAAGATCACGTCCGATCGTCCGGCAAGTCCGGCAAGTTGCGCCGTAATTCCCGGTAGATTAGGGACGCGGGATCGACTAATTTATGGGGGTCGAGACGCTTGCCTGCCGAAGTGCTGAATATATGTGGACGCACGGACCGGTCACTCCGAAGTCATTTAAACCGGGTCACCGAACGCGTCTTCGAATCGGCTGCAGGAGTTAGGCGAAATGGTAGACTGCCTCTGACGAAAGAGGATCGCCGAGTCTCCAATACAACTCCTCGCGGAAAGCATTCGAACAGTTCTCGAGACCCGACAACTTTTTTCGAACCAGATTAAATCGCTTGACAAATCACCTGATTAAATCACCGGATTAAATCACCTCAAATGTTAAACGTTTGCATTCAATGATGCTTTTGGCAAATTATTTGTAAACGTTCATACGCAATGATGCTCATGGTAAATTACTTGCAACCATTTTTATGCAACGGTGGTCTTTGGACAATTATTTGCAAACGTTTGTACTCAATTATGCTCTTGGAAAATTATTTGATGACGTTTCTATACAATGGTGCTCTAGAATAATTATTTGCAAATGTTGATATGCAATAATGACCTTGGAAAATTATTCGCTAACGTTCGATGCAAATGTTCTGTTTATGTGGGCGGGTTGAAAACATCCCTTAAATCTACTCTTTATGTCCAAAAATATGTGGGCTGGTTTTATCGTTTTAAAATGGACGAATTTTCGAAATCTACGTTTGACACAATTTTATTTTTCATCGGAACGTATCGAATATTACCGTACAACGAAGAAAATACAGTTACTTAAATGTTGCTAGTAAAAAGCTGCCGCTTTTGTTTAACTTGTTTTATCGGAACCGGGGACGATAATTTAAAAAAATGCGTTCTGTGGATCGCGGTAATTTATATGCACCCGGGAGACCGCGGGGCATAGTGAGCCTTGGCGCAAAGAGAAATTCGTGGAACATTTATTTAGAAAATTAAAATTTATGTGGTATAAAGTTATGTACTAGATTGATTTATCAGCAGGATGATAATTATTAGCGTTAAGTTATAATGATTCTTCGTTCGAATAATTCTTTACTGAAATAAATCATTCGAATAATTCTTCATTGGAAAAAATCATTCAAATAATTCTATGTTCGAAAGAATTATTCGAGCAGAGACTGTAAAATTATTCGAATAATAACGATTTAACGACTAATAATGAAATTTAATAACGAATGATTAACGATTGTTTTAACGTGATTTTATAAGAATGTGTTTGTAAGAATACATTCAGGATCAGTTGAATTTCTGGCACTTACGGAAATATAAAATTGTTAAAAATAACAAGCTTTTCGATGTAACATTTGAAAAACAGTTAATTGTGAAAAGGAAGATGCAAGAAATGAATCGATATGCTATGAAAAAAAGCACTATACAATGTTCTATCAATTTTATTCAAATCTATTATTTTCCAGATGAATTCCTGTGTGAATAAATTTTTAATCAAACAAAGTCTTATTTGTGAAAGAACTCTTATTCGGACAAAGTTTTATCTGGATCAATTCTTGTTCGACTGGATATTTATACAATGTCGAATGAAATTCGACATCCAAATAAAATTTTGCCGTATTCTGGATGCAACTGCATTTCTGCATTATTAGAACCACTCAATACAAATAAAAACGACTAGATTCCGTCAGTTTATAAAAATAATAAGACCACATTTATCCAGACAATGCACAATTTTTATTTCGAAATGCACCCGAATAAATAAATATATTCAGTTATTGCTCACGAAACTGTGCGAGCTTATCGTTATTCTAATTGCAAATTGGTGTAGTTGAATGATCGAATGATATATGAGAATTGGAGAGGCGATCTGAAAATGTGTGATATCGGAAATATTGTTCGCAGAAACATGAGTTATTTTTTTCGTAGTATGACATTTTTTGCACAGTTTAGGGAAAAATTATTATCAATAAAAAGCATTGTTACGATTTGAGTAATGATAAAATAAACGATCTGGAATTTACGATTTTACCGAGTTTGATAGTTCTGTTGTCAAACACCTGGCATTAGATGAACATTCCTACATCGAATTTTATAATTTGGAGACTGTATTTGATATTATAATATCTTTCAACCTATTAAATAATTTTTTCTACAATATCCGAAAAGTTCTTTACAGTATCAGATAATTTTGCCGATCATCTCTCCATGAAGTTTTAAAGATTGTGTAAAAGTTACCGTCGGGGTGCTATAATTTGATGAACGAAACGAACTGAAAATCATGTGAATAAAAACGAAACGAACGGTCAGAATTTCGGCATTATGCCACAGGGTCCTGAAGATGCGAAATCAATTGGCAGTAAATTTCGGCTTTCATTTCGAGATCTCCATTCAAGCATTCTATTCAAAATAGGAATGTATTAGCACAAGCTACCACAATGGCATCTTAGGCGCACGGATCGGATTGAAGTGGTTCATGTTTGGTTTCGTAAGCGAAACACAACCTCGATTCTGTACACACACATACACATACACACATTTGTTTAAAGCGAGATCGGCTGCTACCAAAACAATAAATTGATGAAATCGTCGACAATGTTTGTTCTCGTTGTGTATCGTAGTTTGGTCGATTCCCGCGAAGAATTCGACGAAAACAAAAACATGATCTGTTCTCAACGATTGGGTTTTCCTTCTCCCAGTTATCTCCGGTAACAGAAATACCGTATTATTCCTGAAATAATGAACAGACATAATCGAGTCATGTTTTCGCCCGTTAAAATCGAATATTATTTTATTTCCCCGGAGATATTTGTTAAAGCGGGCTCGTTAATTACTTCCAGTGGGCCAGAGTATTAATAATTAACAGAGTCACTAGCAAGTAAATTGAGGATGTGTTTTGCTCGATGGGAAGAATGTGAAATGAAAATTGATATCTGCGAAAGCAAAACAATTAATTCAATTTAAACTCCCGCAGATTTAATAACAAGCATGCCGGTATACAACATAAATACATGCGTTTCAATATTAGACATACATTTATCTGATATTTTCAGGTTACAGCGGGATGAAAATATAAAAGTGCAATTTAATAAAAAATATCCGTTAATTGATATTCTGTTTCCTGCATGTTGATGTGCGCGTGTTCTATTAACAGATTATGCTCTCTTCGGTCATATTGCATCCGGATGCAATTACAAAAATGCATTTGGTAAAAAATGTGTGTAAAAATGTGATATTTCCTAGGCTACCCTGTCTTTATAATCACGTGTTGTAACAGAAAACGTTGCGTGCAATTAAAAGAGTGCACTTAACAAGAAATATCCATCGTTTGTTAAATAGTTTTCAATTAATTAGTTAGTTTTCAATTTTCATTTAGTTACCCACGACTTTCAATAACGGACGATAAATAATTTATAATTGTAACATATAATAACATCTCTTGACTTGCAACAAACATTTATCAAATAATATAAAAGTCAGCTAATAAATCATTTAAAAATTAAGAAGTCTCATTTCTCATAAAAGCAATAATAGTACGCAATTATGGAACTGCATTTAATTAAAAAAACATCGAATATTTCATAGCCTGATATTCCCGAACGCTGCGGAAAATGTAGCACAAAGGGCCGCAGAAAATCCCATTTTTCATTTCGGATGCACGAGCAAATGCCTTCGCCAATTCCCTCCGAATATTCCCAGCCGAGGGTCCCGTTCAAAAAAGAAGCTCCGGCTCGGCGAGCAGGCTTTCATAAGGCGTTCCCGAAGGCGCCGCGAATTAATTGCATCGAATCGGCCGCCTTAACAAGATAGGCAGCGTGCGTGCCTCTTATCCAGCATCCCGGCCAGCCTTTGTGTAATCCCAGCACGCGGATCGAATTTAAGAAACCCGATGGCAGGAAGTTCGCGATCTAGCCGGTAAACTTCGTTCGGATTAGCGGATATACGTGATGATCGCCGAATATCGAGCCGGGAATACCGGCAGAAACCGATCCGATCGATCCCGAAAAACCTTCGATCACCCCCTAAACTCTCTATCCAGAGATCCGACCGTCACTTGTCACCTGTTCCCCTCCGTGGCCCGCGGAGAACCAGCCGGCAGCAAAAAACGTGGATCCGTCGCGAAGGTCTGCCGCGGCGGCAGTCGCTCGCGGATGGACCAGGGACATCGGGGCCGGCTCGCGTAGCCTTGGCTTCAAGAGCCGGCACGCGAGTCAGGCTTAAGAAAGCCGGGTCGAATCGGACAGACAGTCGGCGAACCGTGCAGTCAGTCAGTCAGCCAGTCGTCGGTGGCAGTAGTTCGTGAAATCGTGGGATACTGGCTGTACGCGTTGCCACGGTCCGTCCTGAGGACGCAAGCGCACTCGCGCCCCTTATCGAGTTCGAGAGCAAAAGCGACGGCTGCCGCGGTGGTGTGCTCCACACCTACGCCGGTTGCATAGGAATGGGCGGCGTGGGGATGCGAGGCGGAGAGAAAGAGAGACGGAGAGAAACGGATAGAGATAAAGAGAAATAGAGATGGAGTGAGAGAGAGAGAGAGGGAGGGATGGAGAGGGATAGGTGGAGAAAGAGAAGGCAAGAGACGGAAGGGTGGAGGGTTACAGGCGACGGCTCACAAGCCCCGACTTCGGGGGTTCGTTCGCGAGAGAGACAGGGTTATCCTGGCGAGGAGAGGACAGAGGAGGAGGCGGAGGAGCGGCGGGTGCAGCTACGAGTCGGTCGCCGCAGTGTTTGTCAGTCCTTCGTATGGACATCACGTCTGCCACGGCTGATAGTCTGACCCGCGCTGCTGGTGGTGCTGCTGGTGCTACCGCGGCTGGCATTCGCGTCTAACGCGCAAGTTTTGGCGGCATCAATCGCGAAAGAGGCCGGTAGCAGGACGTGTCTCGCGAATGAACGACCGGACGCTCGCCGGCAGTCACGGGATGCGATCACCGCCGACCGGTACCACCCTCGGAGCGTCGGCGGACCGTTTCAGGAGCGACCGGCGCCGGTTCGAAATGTGAAAAAGATCGTGCGGGAAGCGATGTGGCTTCCGTTGATGCTGCTCGCCTTGATGGCGACCGGCTCCGCGTGCCCGGATCTGTGCGAGTGCCATCACCAGACGTCGGTCACCGAGGACACGGACTTGGTTCTCGTCAAGTGTCGCGGTCGTGTGCCGCCGCTCGGCCAGCTGTCCCCGAAGACGAGCAGCCTGTCGGTCGAAGGCGCGGAGGACTACGAGGTGATCAACTTCTTCGACGAGCTGGAGGCGACCGACCCGCCGGACGATTTCGGCTTGATCGGCAGGCTGAACGAGCTGGACGGGAACGATACCCGGTTTGCGGACAACTCGACCGTCGGCTTGGCTCGCCTCGGCGAGCTGTCGTTCACGAACTGTTCCCTGGTGTTCTTGAACGCGACGTGGCGCGGCTTCGAGCGCATCCGATCGCTGAATCTGTCATGCAACAGCCTGGTCGGGCTGGACGACCTGGCCGCGGTCCGCGCGGTCAACATGACCGGCTTGGCGAGGCTCGACCTGTCCGACAACGCGATCACCGGCCTCGGTGCCGGCGGATTTAGGACGCTTTCGGGATTGGTGAGGTTGAGTTTGAGAAGAAACGCGATCGCCTTAGTGCACCCGGACGCGTTTCAGGGCCTCGACCAACTGGAGTTCTTCGACCTGTCGGACAACCGGCTGGCCAAGCTGCCGGACAACGCGCTCACGCCGCTCTACTCGCTACAGAAGTTGGATCTCAGCGGGAACCAGTTGCAGGTGTTGGGCACCAGGTGGTTCGAGAACTTGAACAGACTGAGGGAGTTGGACGTCTCGCGGAACGGACTGGCGCGGGCTGCCTCGGGTACCTTGCAACCGCTGCCGGGATTGTCTGTGCTGAAGCTGTCCGAGAACCCGCTCAAGGAAAGGGACGTGTCCCTGCTGTTAGGTACCGGCAGACGATTGGAGACCGTCGACGCGTCCCGCACAGGCCTCGCCAGAGTTCCGGCCGCATTAACGAGATCCGTGAGAGCTCTTCGACTGGCCGGCAACAAATTGACCACCATCCGCGGCGGCGATCTAGATAGCTATCCCCTGTTGCGGATATTGGACATCTCTGAGAATCGATTGACGGATATCGAAGACGACGCGCTGGGTCGCTTGGAAGTGCTCGAGGAGCTGGACATTTCTGGCAACGTCCTGGTTCGCGTGCCCCGCAGTCTTCCGAGCAGCTTAACCGATTTAAACCTCCGCCGGAACAGGATCCAAGGTCTGAAGCTGAACGATCTGCAGGGGCTGTGCAATCTGAAAACGCTGACGCTGAACGACAACGACATCGGCGAGATCGAAGTGGGCTCGCTCGGCCAATTACCGGTGCTCGAGGAGCTCGATCTGTCCAATAATCCCATTAAAACGCTGCCAGCTAATACGCTGAGTGGACCGAGCAATCTCGCCAAGCTCCGTATGTCGAGACTATCCTCGCTCCAGCGACGGCAGGAAGAGCAGAGCGACATGGCGTTCCCGGTACCTACGCCCGAAAGGCTCGTGCTGCTCGACGTCTCCCAGAGCCCAGTCCTGGCCAGGCAGCTTCTAGCGGACGACGCCGCGTTGTCCGCCTGCAAGAGCCTGCAGGAGCTGGATCTCTCCGCGACCAACGTCACCGGGCTCCGATTCGACCTGCCGTACATGCTGCCGCAGCTCAGAATCCTGCACCTTAGCGGGAACAATTGGAACTGCACCGAGGAGCTCTACTGGATAGCCGAATGGCTGCAGCAGCGCAAACAGCTGAACAAAGACCTGGAGCCCGGCCGATGCGCGACTCCGCAAGAGCGGTCCGGATCGCTGCTCCGTGATCTACCATCGCCGCCAACCCCGGTGCTGGCCGTCGCGACGAGCACGGAAGCTGTCGATCACCCGGCAGAGTCCACCACCGAGTACAAATCGTCGCAGGATGCCTCGAGGCCGCCAATCGCCGGTAACGAGACCCGCTTCTTCGAAGCGCCGACGTTGTTCAGGAACGCGAGCGCCGCGCGGCAGAAGATAATCGAAGTCAATCGGACGTCGGCGGAGATCAAGAATTCCATTACGGACGTCGCCGGGCACGAACCGTCAATTAACGGGATGGACGAGCGGAAGAGCGAGCCTGTCTCCTTCATGCTGACGAAACTGGCCGCGCGGAAGCGGACGGAGGATGAGACGGAAGCCGACGCCAAGCACTCGAAGATCCTGAATAGCAACTTGACGAAAGAGAGCTCGCTGCTCGGCGACGGACTCGACTCGAACGCGGTCCAGGAGGAGTTGAACAGCAGAGCGATTAATCCCGACGCCAGAGTGTCCGAGGCCCTATCGGCTGGTGCTCATCCAGGGATGCTGGTGCTCGCCGGAGCCGTGCTGGGTGCTGCAGCGGCGCTGACTGTGGTGCTGTCGCGAAGAGCCACCTTGCGCCGCAGGGACAGGTATCACCGTCACGAGAACATCGAGGTGCACACGCTCACTCCGACCACGGAGCTTTGGTGACCGGAGTCGGAACACGCTCGACTGTTCGAGAGGGAGCGCAGACAGAACGATCAAGAGAAACCCGTCGAGCGATCCTCGTCGCTGATGAGCTGGCCCGGCTCGCTGCTCGGCGGATGCTTCCGGACGTCGCTCGAGCGAGCCTGAGAAGAGGATCAGATCGAAGACTCCCGACCGTGGTTTCACGTTCGTCCGCGATCTAGATCATCCCGGAGGGCTAGGGTCAAGGTTCAGTACAAACTCGAAGAGGAGATTGTCCCCGCATTGGACCCGGTCCGTCGGGAGGCAGCGCGAGTCGGCGTCCGAGCTTAGAGCTCGTTCGAGCGCTCGATTACGTTCAGCGGGGAATCGATACGCTTTCAGCGGGGGAGGATGATTGGACGAGAATATTCGTTCCGAATTAAAATTAAACACGCTCACGCGAGGGGTCTTGATCGATCGTCAAACACACACGTTCCCGACTACTTCGAGGATCCAATCGCTGTCCGCGCCGCGCCGCGTCGCGACGGGAGAAGAGAGAAAGAGAGAGAAACACCGGCGAGAGAGGAGAACCGCAGGAGGCAATAATTACCGCTGACAGCTGCGATCGATCTCGGGCTCGATCCGGAGAGTTCAATAGCACATAGTGACAATAATAACTGCAACGTGGCCCGCGCGCGCGTCTTCGATGGTCCGAGGACACACGCGTCGTCCGACTCTCGGCAGGTTCTTCGCGCGGTGCACGCGAGCAGTGCGGGACACGGGCCGGCAAGCGGACAAGAAACTGGAGGGAAACGTGCCGCCGTGAAATTTCGCGGTGGTGAATTGTACGTTTGAATGATAGTGCAGGTGGGGACCGGAGAGAGACCGATTGCTGAAGAACTTTTATCGAACGCCGAGGGACTGAGTGAGAGAAGAGGTGTTCCTCGAGAGTACGCGAGCGTGTGCCGGTGAATGGGGATGCGAGAAAGCGTGCGAGGAACGAGCGAAGAGAGCAAGTAGCCCAGAGTATGTATGTATGTGTGCACCGGTTTCTTCCGCGTCTGCGTGCGTATGTCTGTTCCATGTATGTTGTGCATGTATAGATGACANTTCATGCTGACGAAACTGGCCGCGCGGAAGCGGACGGAGGATGAGACGGAAGCCGACGCCAAGCACTCGAAGATCCTGAATAGCAACTTGACGAAAGAGAGCTCGCTGCTCGGCGACGGACTCGACTCGAACGCGGTCCAGGAGGAGTTGAACAGCAGAGCGATTAATCCCGACGCCAGAGTGTCCGAGGCCCTATCGGCTGGTGCTCATCCAGGGATGCTGGTGCTCGCCGGAGCCGTGCTGGGTGCTGCAGCGGCGCTGACTGTGGTGCTGTCGCGAAGAGCCACCTTGCGCCGCAGGGACAGGTATCACCGTCACGAGAACATCGAGGTGCACACGCTCACTCCGACCACGGAGCTTTGGTGACCGGAGTCGGAACACGCTCGACTGTTCGAGAGGGAGCGCAGACAGAACGATCAAGAGAAACCCGTCGAGCGATCCTCGTCGCTGATGAGCTGGCCCGGCTCGCTGCTCGGCGGATGCTTCCGGACGTCGCTCGAGCGAGCCTGAGAAGAGGATCAGATCGAAGACTCCCGACCGTGGTTTCACGTTCGTCCGCGATCTAGATCATCCCGGAGGGCTAGGGTCAAGGTTCAGTACAAACTCGAAGAGGAGATTGTCCCCGCATTGGACCCGGTCCGTCGGGAGGCAGCGCGAGTCGGCGTCCGAGCTTAGAGCTCGTTCGAGCGCTCGATTACGTTCAGCGGGGAATCGATACGCTTTCAGCGGGGGAGGATGATTGGACGAGAATATTCGTTCCGAATTAAAATTAAACACGCTCACGCGAGGGGTCTTGATCGATCGTCAAACACACACGTTCCCGACTACTTCGAGGATCCAATCGCTGTCCGCGCCGCGCCGCGTCGCGACGGGAGAAGAGAGAAAGAGAGAGAAACACCGGCGAGAGAGGAGAACCGCAGGAGGCAATAATTACCGCTGACAGCTGCGATCGATCTCGGGCTCGATCCGGAGAGTTCAATAGCACATAGTGACAATAATAACTGCAACGTGGCCCGCGCGCGCGTCTTCGATGGTCCGAGGACACACGCGTCGTCCGACTCTCGGCAGGTTCTTCGCGCGGTGCACGCGAGCAGTGCGGGACACGGGCCGGCAAGCGGACAAGAAACTGGAGGGAAACGTGCCGCCGTGAAATTTCGCGGTGGTGAATTGTACGTTTGAATGATAGTGCAGGTGGGGACCGGAGAGAGACCGATTGCTGAAGAACTTTTATCGAACGCCGAGGGACTGAGTGAGAGAAGAGGTGTTCCTCGAGAGTACGCGAGCGTGTGCCGGTGAATGGGGATGCGAGAAAGCGTGCGAGGAACGAGCGAAGAGAGCAAGTAGCCCAGAGTATGTATGTATGTGTGCACCGGTTTCTTCCGCGTCTGCGTGCGTATGTCTGTTCCATGTATGTTGTGCATGTATAGATGACAGAGAGAGAGAGAGAGAGAGAGAGAGAGAGAGAGAAAGTGATAGAGAGGGAGAGGGGGAGAGTAGAAAAGAGAGTGTGCGAGAATGATCGCGAGTTGGAAACCGCTCTCGACGGCGGGCAATACCGAGTGTACAGAAACATAGCTTCCGAACTTAATTCTAGCGACTTGGAGAGTTGCCAAGACTCCTCGACAAACAGAACAAAAAAAAACACAGAGGATAAGAGCGGGAGAGAGCAGATAAGAAATAACGAAGAGGCTAGACATTATCTTTCTTAAAATAACCAGTGTCAAAGTACTGCTATGATAATAAACCGACGTACAAAGATGCACAAGTCTCTGGATTAATTCTTCTGAACGCCTTCCACGGATTCTGATTTTCTATGGGGACGGGCCGTCGTTCGGGGAACGTTTCTTCCGGCCGAGATTTTATACGGTTCTTGGCGCGATGATTAAAGCATTAACACGCTCGCTACCTGCGATATGATAGCAGCCGGTTATTTCGTATTAAATGCAACGTTCTTAGAGCATCCGGCAGAGATGCTGTTGGTAAAGTGATGCTTCCGAGTTCTCGAAATATTATGCCGTGTTAGAATTCGAATGCTAGATCCATCGAAGCTCGTTAAGTGTCGAATATCAAGCCCCAACAATTCCCACACAATATAAAAGTCAATTAATTCGAGAAAACGAAACTATACAGTTGAAGTTCACCATGGTAACCGTTAGTTCTACTCTCTTCTTGCATTTGAACATTTAGTTTCCTCGAATATATCGCTAATAAAAATGGACTTCATGATCCAGTCGAAAATGTTATTGTTATATAACAAGATCGCACTAATCTTGATTTTGATCTCATTTTCATCTGAATGTTTGACTAGATTTCGAAATCCATTATTACCGTGGCATATTCGTTTCGGTTTTATGTAACAAACTAGTTATCGTTATAACACGATTATAATATCAGGAATTGTAAAGGAAACAATAAAAAAGAAAGCAGTTATTTTCACTGATTTGGTAATTCTATAGCGTTGAACAGCGGCATTAACGGAATAAATTTTATTTTCTTCGCGCGGAATACAAAATCATGATAGTCAGACATGCATGACGCTGGTAGCGAATGTGTTAAGTCCCATTGTTGCGTCAATGCAATTCCCACGCGATTTCTTTTCGGCGATTTTAGATTGTGCAATTTAGCTTTTTCCTGTTGGGATCGTGCACAGAGATTTCAAGGATTTGCTTGGCATTCTTTTCGTTCTTACTATTTCTTCATCCAGTTAGTATCTACAGAATCTCGACGTGACAATCGAATTTTCTTGTTTAGATCGTGCAATTTTTCTTATGCACCTATTTTATACTACTTCGCAGCAGGTCAAGTATTATAATGTAATTCTTGCGTTTCTTTTTTCTTCAAATGCAATTTTTAGATTTCTATTTTATTTGCATACAATTTTTTGATTTAGTTTCTGTTTACATGAAATCTTTTGGTTTCTTGTTTCTTTTAATTCGATCCTTGCGTTTCTTTTCTCTTTAAACTTTCTTTCAGATTTCTTCCGCTTTTTATATATAATTTTCATCTTTCTTTTCTCTGTAAATGCAATTTCAAATATTCAATGCAATATTTACGTTCCTATATTTCACATGATCAATGAGTTGATTCGTGGACATCTCTCATGTGAAAAGATATTTAATTCAATTTATTTCTTAACAATAAATAAATTCATTATCGCTTCCATGCTTACATTCTTTTAAAGTTTATGAATTTTGATAAGTTCACGTTTCTATTGTACAATCATTTTAAAACAGATACAGAGTTTTGCACATTCAATGGACATTGATTGACTTGAACGCAAGAACAAAACCGATTATGCAGCTTATCCAATACAACGCAACGAAAACAGTCCAGTAAAAATAATACAAACAAATGAAGTACAAATTCTGAAAAAAACCATCAATGTATCTTATATTTTATTCGTTTAATTATTCTCAATTGTTTCTAATTCTGAATACAGGTTTGAATTTAACCATTCGAATCTCGAGAACACAGTTAACATTGAACATTTATAAATATCGTGGAATAAAATTTTAATCAATAAACGAATCAATGTGCACGTAAATTTAACAATCGTATTTATTTATAAACATTCGAACGAACATGTAGACTTCGATGACTGGCAATGCGATCTCATCAGATCCCTCTAATTATAGGAATAGAGACTTAGTTGTAGGAAAATCGTATCGGCGTTTGCAAAGAAGATGCAGCTGGCTGCATCGTCTCGATTCCCATCGCAGAACGCAAGTCGCAGGTAAGTGAATCATACATATTTGATTAACAAACTTCCGCCAGTATTTCGTCGTCCACGCTGCGGACGGTTTATCGTTTATCAATTGGAATTGCCTGTTGTCAGAAATTCGAGCCAATGCCTGACACGATACAAAAAAAAGCAGTTCGACGTTTTGCTTTTCCGCTTGCATGAATTGCATCATAGTTTATGCCGTTCGGGTGATATTTTATTTTTTTTACCGACGATGTATTCGTTGCAGACGCTACATTGTGTGGTTTGCTGTTTGTCGCTGCACTGCTTCGGGAATAAATTTCTATTTGCAGTTTCGTTGCTATTACACCGACAGCATATAAATTGCTGCAGCTCACTGACATCGACTGCGCTGTCCTGCAAAATGTTTGCGCACTAACGTCCTTGTTCCTGTCGCTCAATCGTTCCACACGAAACGATTGTTTCTATTTGTTCGCTTTATTGTCGTCATTTAATTAGAAAATATATTATGCAGGTGTTTTATGCGACTCTGTTTCCAGGATAGTATTTTATTTCTTTTCGCCAGAGCTGAATATACAGTTCGCATAAATCAATCGTTCTTCTTATGCTGTTAATATTACCGTCGTTAATATCAAGTCGATTTTTCGTTTAGACAATTAATTTTAATTTAATACAAATTGCTTCGCGCTATTTGCCAGCAAATAATTCACGCTACTTGCCAGCGAATGATATATGGCATTTGCCAGCGAATGATTTACGTCAGTTGCCAGCGAATGAATTATACATTACGTGCACGAATTATTGTACGTCGACGTATCCTCGAATTAATATTAACATTGCTAGAAAACAGTTGTATTATTGTAGCGTTAATATGTTATTATAACTAATTGTCCGAAACTGTCGCCTGTCCGAACGTTTATGCAACGGATGCCAAACCGAATAATTACGATACACGTTCGCGTTTGCACAAACGCATTATGATGTAGAATAGTGATTTCGACGCGGGTGTAACTAGCCAATGAGCATCGTAAACAAATGTCCATTCAAGAAGAAACGCGCGCATATGTTCGACGCGGTGTACATTGCGGGTTAAAAATTGCAGCGATCCATCGCATTGTTGGCGAACGTTAACAATTAATTCAGTTCGTCAACAACTTCCATATCTCCGTTTATAAATACGCGCGCAACAACCGCGATTGTTTGCAGGCGAGAAAGTGGAACGATTATTCCGGTGTCGCTTCATTTAGGTGATATTCACGTATAAAACAGCCGTGTCCGACGAATGTATGC